GTCATGGCGTGGGCATGTATGGCTGCCAATGGAACTGCTTCTCTTGTATTTATTGATGATGTGACTTCTGACAGAAGCAGCCGGATGAATTGTGAAGTGTTTCGGGAATATTATCTGCTCATATTCAGCCAAATGCTTCACAACTCATTGGACCCTTCACAGTGCAGATGGACAATGACTAGAGATGAGCGAATCGAACCAGGCGAACCGGAATTCGAGTCGAATTTCGGAAATATTCGATTCGCGTCGAATCCGAAATTTTGCCTACTTCGGGTGCGCAAATCGAATATTTCCCGATCCAGCCGGCAAAAAGTGTCCCTGCAGTGAGCTCCGCTATTTCTGACAGTTCTCTGACAGAAGGAACACATGTAAAGCGGTTGAAACATTGTATCTATATTTTTCCATTTAGGATACAGATGTTTTCAACCGCTGTACATGTGAAGAAGCTGTCAGAGAACTGTCAGAAATAGAGGAACTCTGCACATACACATTTTTGCCGGTTTGGAATTCTTATTTTCATCCTACTTCTTCTTCTTCTACTTCTTCATCCTCATCCTCATCCTCAGATAAGAAGAAGAAGAGGATGAGGATGAAGAAGAAGAAGAAGAAGTAGGATGAAAATAAGAATACATTCCAAGCCGGCAAAAAGTGTATGTGCAGAGTTCCTCTATTCTGCAGATACACTTAGAGGAGCTCTGCAGAGCTCTGCAGATACACTTTTTGCCGGCTTGGAATTAATCTTATTTTCATCCTACTTCTTCTTCTTCTTCTTCTTCATCCTCATCCTCAGAAGAAGAAGAAGAAGAGGATGAGGATGAAGAAGAAGAAGAAGAAGAAGTAGGATGAAAATAAGAATAATTCCAAGCCGGCAAAAAGTGTATGTGCAGAGTTCCTCTATTCTGCAGATACACTTAGAGGAGCTCTGCAGATACACTTAGAGGAGCTCTGCACATACACTTTTTTGCCGGCTTGGAATTAATCTTATTTCATCCTACTTCTTCTTCTTCATCCTCAGAAGAAGAAGAAGAAGAGGATGAGGATGAGGATGAAGAGGAAGAAGAAGAAGAAGATCCTTAGGGATGAAAATAAGAATAATTCCAAGCCGGCAAAAAGTGTATGTGCAGAGCTCCTCTTCTCAGTGTATCTTCATCAGAGCTCCTCTAAGTGTATCTGCAGAATAGAGGAACTCATGCACATACATTGCCGGAAACTTCTTCCATCCTTCTGTATGGAGGGAATGTCCCAGAACTGTCAGAAATAGACCTTTTCTGACAGTTCTGGGACATTCCTTCCATACAGCGGTTGAAACATTGTATCTATTTGTTTCCATAAATGGATCCATTTATGGAAACAAATAGATACAATGTTTCAACCGCTGTATGGAAGGAATGTCCCAGAACTGTCATTTCTCCTAGTCTATTTCTGACAGTTCTATGACATTCCCTCCATACAGCGGTTGAAACCGCTGTATGGAGTGAATGTCCCAGAACTGTCAGAAATAGACTATTAATGACAGTTCTGGGACATTCCTTCCATACAGCGGTTGAAACATTGTATCTATTTGTTTCCATAAATGGATCAATTTATGGAAACAAATAGATACAATGTTTCAACCGCTGTATGGAGTGAGTGTCCCAGAACTGTTAGAAATAGTCTATTTCTGACAGTTCTATGACATTCCCTCCATACAGCGGTTGAAACCACTGTATGGAGTGAATGTCCCAGAACTGTCAGAAATAGACAGAAACTGTCACAGAACTGTCCTTCTTCTCATCCTTCTCCTTCTTCTCATCCTTCTTCTCATCCTTCTCCTTCTTCTCATCCTTCTCCTTCTTCTTCTCATCCTTCTCCTTCTTCTCATCCTTCTTCTCATCCTTCTTCTCATCCTTCTCCTTCTTCTCTCATCCTTCTCCTTCTCCTCTTCTCATCCTTCTCCTTCTTCTCATCCTTCTCCTTCTCCTTCTTCTCATCTTTCTCCTTCTTCTCATCCTCTCCTTCTCCTTCTTCCTCCTTCTCCTTCTCCTTCTTCTCATCCTTCTCCTTCTCTCATCCTTCTCCTTCTCCTTCTCCTTCTTCTCATCCTTCTCCTTCTCCTTCTCCTTCTCCTCTCCTCATCCTTCTCCTTCTCCTTCTTCTCATCCTTCTCCTTCTTCTTCTCCTTCTCCTTCTTCTCATCCTTCTTCTTCTCATCCTTCTCCTTCTTCTCATCCTCTCCCTCTCCTCTCTCATCCTTCTCCTTCTTCTCATCCTTCTCCTTCTCCTTCTTCTCATCCTTCTTCTCATCCTTCTCCTTCTTCTCATCCTTCTTCTCATCCTTCTCCTTCTTCTCATCCTTCTCCTTCTTCTCATCCTTCTCCTTCTTCTCATCCTTCTCCTTCTTCTCATCCTTCTCCTTCTCCATTCTTCTCATCCTTCTCCTTCTCCTTCTTCTCATCCTTCTCCTTCTCCTTCTTCTCATCCTTCTCCTTTTTCTCATCCTTCTCCTTCTCCTTCTTCTCATCCTTCTCCTTCTCCATCTTCTCATCCTTCTCCTTCTCCTTCTTCTCATCCTTCTCCTTCTGCTTCTCCTTCTCCTTCTTCTCATCCTTCTCCTTCTTCTCATCCTTCTCCTTCTTCTCATCCTTCTTCTTCTCATCCTTCTCCTTCTTCTCATCCTTCTTCTCATCCTTCTCCTTCTTCTCATCCTTCTTCTCATCCTTCTCTTCTTCTTCTCATCTTCTCCTTCTTCTTCTCATCCTTCTCCTTCTCCTTCTTCTCATCCTTCTCCTTCTCCTTCTTCTCATCCTTCTCCTTCTTCTCATCCTTCTCCTTCTTCTCATCCTTCTCCTTCTCCTTCTTCTCATCCTTCTCCTTCTCCTTCTTCTCATCCTTCTCCTTCTCCTTCTTCTCATCCTTCTCCTTCTTCTCATTCCTCATCCTTCTCCTTCTTCTCTCCTTCTCCTCTCCTTCTCCTTCCTCATCTCCAAGGGCATTTAAATTAAAGGTACAGTGTTCTGCACTAATTTAAAGGCTCTCTGAAGCCTAGAAACCCTTTTAATAAGTTAACTTCGTAGCGAATTAATTCGCATCGAATCGAATTTCATACTGGAATTCGCCTAATCAGCCGAATCGAATTTTTGAGAAATTCGCTCATCTCTAACAATGACCCAAAGCAGACTGCAAAAGCAACCAAAGAGTTTTTTAAGGGAAAGAAGTGGAATGTTCTGCAATGGCCAAGTCCATCACCTGACCTGAATCCGATTGAGCATGCATTTCACTTGTTGAAGACAATACGGAAGGGAAAATGCCCCAAGAACAAGCAGGAACTGAAGACAGTTGCAGTAAAGGCCTGGCAGAGCATCACCAGGGATGAAACCCAGCGTCTGGTGATGTCTATGCGTTCCACACTTCAGGCTATAATTGACTGCAAAGGATTTGCAACCAAGTATTAAAAAGTGAAAGTTTGATTTATGATTATTATTCTGTCCCATTACTTTTGGTCCCTTAACAAGTGGGAGGCACATATGCAAACTGTTGTAATACCTACACCGTTCACCTGATTTGGATGTAAATACCCTCAAATTAAAGCTGACAGTCTGCAGTTAAATCAAATCTTGTTCGTTTCATTTCAAATCCATTGTGGTGGTGTATAGAGCCAAAAATGTTAGAATTGTGTCCATGTCCCAATATTTATGGACCTGACTGTATATAGTCCAGTCGTGAATACGATCTATGTGCATAGGAAAAGAAGAATAATCCCTTTCTCTAGGATGTTTTACTCTCCAAGTATCTATTAATTGGCTTTGATGCAATCTCCTTTTCAGCCTTCTTAATTTTTTCCCTCCATCCTTCTGCACCTTAGAAGATGTATCCATCCATGGATTCCAGACCAACAAGATGGACGTTATGGAGTGGCCAGCCCAATCCCCGGATCCTCGTCCAATAGAAAACTTGTGGGGTGACATCAAAAATGCAGTTTCTGAGGCAAAACCAAGAAATAGAGAAGAACTGTGGAATGTGGTCCAATCATCATCCTGGGCTGGAATACCTGATCACAGGGGCCAGAAGTTGGGGGACTCCATGCAACACAGATGTACAGCAGTTCTCAGAAACAGTGCGACTACAACCAAATATTCATGAAGTCATTCAAAGGAAAGCAAAATCTTCAAACATTTCTCAGTTTATATATAGTGAATGTTTGAGTTTGTAAAGAAGAATACAAACACTGCCATTTTTTTGAACCGTCTAATATTCACTTTTCTTCCATTTTTTTAGAGGAACAACACAAATTTGATGTATTTTTCTTCATGTTGTGATTTGGAATAGAATGTGTCGTGTTCCCAATGCATTTGTGTGGATGGAAATAAAAGCTATTAGAAGGATTTTCAGCTTTATTCACTTTTTTCAACACACTGCTATTATTTTGAACACAACTGTATTTTTTTTATAGTACTTGTATTCACTTGGAGAGTTTTTACCCCTCCCCCTTTTTTGGATCTGCTCTTCATTTCTTTTATAAGATTGGTATAGAGAATATTAATCTAAATATTTTCACTTCAAGTTAAAGTCACTTAAATATGAGATATACTGTATTTTTTGCTCCATAAGATGCACTTTTTTCACCCCAAAAAAGGGGGAAAATGTCAGTGTGTCTTATGGAGCGAAAATGGAGCGGCCGGTCTGGTATTTCCGCCGCTGCCACCATGTCAGAATACCGGGCCGGCTGCTCAGCTGCTGCAGGACCTTACCTGTTCCTCAGTCCAGAGCTGTACAGCCTTCCCGCGCCGGGCATCTGTGACAGCCGGGTGCCCACTGCGCATGAACGCTGTGCTTTGTCAATGGTCCGGTGTCTTCTGGGACACATGACAGGTCCCAGAATACACCGGGCAATTCACAAAGCGCAGCACTTCTTGCGCATGCGCAGTGGGCACCCGGCTGTCACACTAAAGGGAGGACTACTCTGCGGAAGTGGGGCGGGTACCTGTCAAATTCAGGTACCCGCTGTCCCTCCCTCCCCAAAGGTCCACAGTCTCTGGTCATCCCCTGTACTGTCTGCAGTCTCTCTGATAATCTCCTGTACTATATCTGCAGTCTCTGGTCATCCCCTGTACTGTCCGCAGTCTCTGATCATCCCCTGTACTATGTCTGCAGTCTCTGGTCATCAACTTTACTGTCCGCAGTCTCTGATCATCCCCTGTACAATATCTGCAGTCTCTGGTCATCCCCTGTACTGTCATCAGTCTCTGATCATCCCCTGTACTATATCTGCAGTCTCTGGTCATCCCCTGTACTGTCTCAGTCTCTGGTCATCCCCTGTACTATATCTGCAGTCTCTGGTCATCCCCTGTACTGTCTGCAGTCTCTGGTCATCCCCTGTACTGTCCACAGTCTCTGGTCATCCCCTGTACTGTCCGCAGTCTCTGGTCATCTCCTGTACTGTGTCCGCAGTCTCTGGTCATCCCCTGTACTGTGTCCGCAGTCTCTGGTCATCTCCTGTACTGTGTCCGCAGTCTCTGGTCATCTCCTGTACTGTGTCCGCAGTCTCTGGTCATCTCCTGTACTGTGTCCGCAGTCTCTGGTCATCTCCTGTATTGTCCGCAGTCTCTGGTCATCTCCTGTACTTGTGTCCGCAGTCTCTGATCATCTCCTGTACTATGTCCGCAGTCTCTGGTCATCTCCTGTACTGTGTCCGCAGTCTCTGGTCATCTCCTGTACTATGTGTCCGCAGTCTCTGGTCATCCCCTGTACTGTGTCCGCAGTCTCTGGTCATCCCCTGTACTATGTCCGCAGTCTCTGGTCATCTCCTGTACTGTCCGCAGTCTCTGGTCATCCCCTGTACTATGTCCGCAGTCTCTGGTCATCTCCTGTACTACGTCCGCAGTCTCTGGTCATCTCCTGTACTATGTCCGCAGTCTCTGGTCATCTCCTGTACTATGTCCGCAGTCTCTGGTCATCTCCTGTACTACGTCCGCAGTCTCTGGTCATCTCCTGTACTGTGTCCGCAGTCTCTGGTCATCTCCTGTACTGTGTCCGCAGTCTCTGGTCATCTCCTGTACTATGTCCGCAGTCTCTGGTCATCCCCTGTACTATGTCCGCAGTCTCTGGTCATCTCCTGTACTGTGTCCGCAGTCTCTGGTCATCTCCTGCACTGTGTCCGCAGTCTCTGACCCTCTCCTGTACTGTGTCCGCAGTCTCTGGTCATCCCCTGTACTTTGTCTGCAGTCAGAATATTTTTTTCTTGTTTTTCTCCTCTAAAACCTAGGTGCGTCTTATGGAGCAAAAATACGGTAATTACTTTCTGTTATTTTCACCTCACTTTGCTCATTAAGGAGCCATGACACCTCCTTTTTCTTACCCTCCCAGACCCGTCTTCACAGATATTCAGATTCCTGCATTCATCATACATTGATTTAAATATATGAACTTAGCCGTTGTCCACAGCAACTCACCCAGTCCTGTCAGGAATGTCAATCTGGCTTCTTATGGGGTCTTCAGCGGGTGGTCCGTCTGTTCCAGATATCTCATATCTCTCCTTCTGCACAAATTACCGATGTTTTTTTCCTTTGAATTAATTTATCAGTCCAGCTTCTCTCTCCTTCCAGACTTCTCCATCTGGGAGCCCAGCTTATCCATCAGTTCTCTCCACTCACTCCCAGCCTGCAGCTCCGTCGGCTCTGTCAGCTGTTCCCCATTCACAGGGCTCTGGCGTCCCGTCTCCCCAACAACAGGTCAGCGTCTCCTGATCTCCCTGCAGCCTCCACGTGGGTGCCCTGCTATGCCGGCCAGCACTGCTCTCCGTGGGGACACCCGATCCTCTCCCTCTGCACTCGTCTCCTCGCCTCTCCCGGGGTAAAGCACAGGACTCCCTCCTTCCACGCAGCACACAGCCTGGGAGAGATCACCGTGCAACTATCACACAGCACTTTCCCCTCCATGGACGCCCGGAGCTCCTCTCCCCTTCAGCTCACAGCTCCATACTCAGGTCCCCCCCCCCCAGGGTACCAAGTACCCAGGTCTCTTACTCCACTTCTACTGAACAGTTGTTCAAATGGATTATAATCCGCCACGTCCTCGGGGGCTCGGGGGGTGTTGCAGCAAAGTGTCTTAGCTGAAAATACGGCCACTCATCCTACCTGAGAACAGATCCTTTTTATTTCTCAGCTCCTGAAAGGAGAATATTTCTTCTCATTTCAATATATCTTTTATGTTTCAATCATTTTTATTGGAAATTGTTACATAGAAATACAAAGTATACCGTATGCAGTAGATGAAACATTCTACAGTCATGGATGAGATCAGAGAAAACAGGTAAACAGAACAGAGAAAAATAATCATGAAAACACCAATTACACAATAACGTTTACATTTATAACCCCTTCCGGTCCGGACACTCTTACCCCCGCTTCCAGTCCGGACACCTTACCCCCGCTTCCAGTCCGGACACTCTTACCCCCCCTTCCGGTCCGGACACTCTTACCCCCCCTTCCGGTCCGGACACTCTTACCCCCCCCCGTTCCGGTCCGGACACTCTTACCCCCCCTTCCGGTCCGGACACTCTTACCCCCCCCTTCCGGTCCGGACACTCTTACCCCCCCTTCCGGTCCGGACACTCTTACCCCCCCTTCCGGTCCGGACACTCTTACCCCCCCTTCCGGTCCGGACACTCTTACCCCCCCTCCGGTCCGGACACTCTTACCCCCGCTTCCGGTCCGGACACTCTTACCCCCCCTTCCGGTCCGGACACTCTTACCCCCCCCGCCGGACACCTCCGGTCCGGACACTCTTACCCCCCCTTCCGGTCCGGACACTCTTACCCACCTTACCCCCTTCCGGTCCGGACACTCTTACCCCCCCTTCCGGTCCGGACACTCTTACCCCCTCTTCCGGTCCAGACACTCTTACCCCCCTTCCAGTCCCCTTCCACCCCCCCTTCCGTCCGACACTCTTACCCCCCCTTCCAGTCCGGACACTCTTACCCCCCTTCCAGTCCGGACACTTCCAGTCCGGACACTCTTACCCCCCCTTCTTCCAGTCCGGACACTCTTACCCCCGCTTCCAGTCCGGACACTCTTACCCCCCCTTCCAGTCCGGACACTCTTACCCCCCCCCTTCCAGTCCGGACACTCTTACCCCCGCTTCCAGTCCGGACACTTACCCCCCCCCCCTTCCAGTCCGGACACTCTTACCCCCCCTTCCAGTCCGGACACTCTTACCCCCCCCTTCCAGTCCGGACACTCTTACCCCCCCTTCTTACCCCCGCTTCCAGTCCGGACACTCTTACCCCCCCTTCCAGTCCGGACACTCTTACCCCCGCTTCCAGTCCGGACACTCTTACCCCCCCCCAGTCCGGACACTCTTACCCCCCTTCCAGTCCGGACACTCTTACCCCCCCTTCCAGTCCGGACACTCTTACCCCCCCCTTCCAGTCCGGACACTCTTACCCCCCCTTCCAGTCCGGACACTCTTACCCCCCCTTCCAGTCCGGACACTCTTACCCCCCCTTACAGTCCGGACACTCTTACCCCCCCTTTCCAGTCCGGACACTCTTACCCCCCCTTCCAGTCCAGACAGATTTGAAAAAAAGTGTTTTTCTTATAAAATGTTGCAATTAAATAATCTGTCTTTGTAAATCTTGGCCAAAATGTATTCAGTTATCTTTTTAGTAAAAAAAAAAAAAATAACCCAAATTAGTTTATAACCAAAAATTATAATTTTTCTAAATTGTTTTTACATTTTTATTTAATTTTTTTTATTATTATTAATGTTTTTTTTTTACATACTGTCACCTTAGCAGTACAGTGTCACCATAGTGACACTGTACTACTTGTGGGGGGTGAAGATTTTTTTGTTACACTGATTGCAAAGGCTGTGAAAGCAATCATTTCTCCTTCTCTCTGGCTGCATTCCTGCAGCCATTAGCTGTGTGAGCTGTGATTGGTCACAGCTTGTCACATGGTACAAGGCTGTTGTGAATGGCCCTGTACCATGTGACCTCTGTGATCATTCACAGATTATACACTTTGTAAGCAATGATGCCAGAAGTAACATCTTGCTTACTACTCTGCATGTGATCATTGATTGGCCAATCAGTGATCATATGATCGGGACCTCACACAGAGGTCCTGTACAATGACCAGGTGTTCCACTCTGTCCAGAGGACACAGCGAGCACCGGATCGTGGTGCTGCACGCTCCCAGGGAGCACACACAAGCAGGGGAAGGGGATGCCATTTTTAGACACCCACCCACCCCTGCACTGCCACCATCTGGCCGTTTATGTGCATGGGCAAGACCGAAAGTGGTTAGAGATCAGTTAAAGACATTTCTACCAAAGTGAGATGTTCACACAGGTGGGTTTGTTTGGGGCCATCTGAGCTAAGGTTGCCATAGGGCAAGTACTTTTCTATATTTTCTTTTGCTAGAGGCCATCGCAAGTTCATAAGAACAATGTGAACTAACGGGAGTGAGATACCATCTAAAGCAGGGCTTGAAAAAAGCCACTCGCCCGTTCTCCAAATGCGAGGGGAAATCCTGTGGTGAGCACAGATGGAGCAGCTCTACCTGCTCTCCAAGCCTCATTGTGAAGCCGAGTTCTGGTTTCCAACTTCCGGTTTCCAACTTCTGGCTTTTTCTTTGGCACCGCCATTACACTGGCAGCGCTGCTGAGGGGACAGGTGCAGGAGAGGTCTGCTCTCCTCTGCTGAGAGGAGACACCCGCTCTCCACCACCACAGGGGACTTGAGGAGAGGCCCACTCTACACCGCTTGGGAGACACGAAGCCCGCTCTCCACCGCCTTGGGGGACACGAGGCCCGCTCTCCACCGCCTTGGGGGCTCTCCACCACCTTGGGGGACACGAGGTCCGCTCCCACCGCCTTGGGGGACACGAGGCCCGCTCTCCACCGCCTTGGGGGACACGAGGCCCACGCTTTACCCACCTTGGGGGACACGAGGCCCACGCTTTACCACCTTTTACCACCTTGGGGGACACGAGGAGAGGCCCGCTCTACACCACCTTGGGGGACACGAGGAGAGGCCCACTCTACACCTCCTTGGGGGACACGACGAGGAGAGGCTCGCTCTACACTGGCATGAGACCCACCAACGGTGCACATCACTACACCCACCAGCGTAAGGTAAATTACATTTTTTTGTGCTGGGCTCTGGGGGCAAAATGATATCGAAAAGAGTAAAAAAAAAAAAAAAAATAAACAACGTTAAAATAAACCAACCACACTGCTGCTCTCTGGGGCCTACATATTTCAAAAAGTAAAAAAAAAAAAAAAAAAAAAAAAAAAAAGCACAGCACACCTATGCACAATCAGCTACAAATTTAATTTAAAATAAAAAA